TTTCTTATTTAAAAAGGGGATTTGTCACAATATTCACTATGGTACAGCCATGTTTCGGCATGAATGGGCCGCCTCGACCGGAGTGATACTACGGCCTCATAGAAAACCAACGTGACACAATGGTTGTGTTGTGTTTCATAAGGTTACTGGAGGCCCAATTACTCTCCTCCTCTATCTTCTCAATCCCTGAATCCCCAACAGCCCTCAGAATGTCTAATCTCCATAACCTACGTGTACCAGTGGTAGCGCACTTGTAACGCCATTAGGGCTTCAGGTGTCCAAGGGCGGCGCCGATTCTTACCATTTGTTTGGCGTCATGCACGTCGCGCATCATTACGACGTCCCCCCAGTTCCCCTTAATTTTTTTTAATATGTCCTAATGAATATTGCTTAGTTATTCGATTTCCAGATTTGTAGGATACGTCATTTTCCGATAATTTTATTTTTCGCGACATTCTTCTTGCATTCATGCTGCAACATTTTTGAACCCTAAACCATGGTGATAATTAATTGGGGTCCTAGATATATTGATCGTGATTTAACCATGGCATTGGCTAATTAAGGTCCTCACAGCGTGGATGGTATTTGTGAGTGCAACGTTGCCAGCTTTAGGTTTACTTGTCCTTTCTTTTACTCTCTCTTGTCACTCGCCTGGTAGTACAGCTACAGTTTTACATTATTTGTAAAACTCTGTACGACGAGTACCAGCGGCGGCGTGGCATGGCATGGCGTAGCATAGCATGATGTAGCATGGCATGGTATAGCATGGCATGGCGTAGCATGGCGTAGCATGGCGTAGCATGACGTAGCATGTCTTAGCATGGCGTAGCATGGCGTAGCATGGCGTAGCATTGATTAGCATGGCATAGCATGGCATTGCATGGCATGTCGTAGCAAGGCATGGCGTAGCATGGCATGACTTAGCATGGCATGGCGTAGCATAGCATGGCATGATATGGCATGGCGTAGCATGGCATGGCATGGCTTAGCATGGCATGGCGTAGCATGGCATGGCTTAGCATGGCATGGCATGGCGTAGCATGGCATGGCATGGCGTAGCATGGCGTAGCATGGCATGGCATGGCGTAGCATGGCATGGCATGGCGTAGCATGGCATGGCATGGCGTAGCATGGCATGGCATGGCGTAACATGGCATGGCGTAACATGGCATGGCTTAGCATGGCATGGCGTAACATGGCATGGCGTAACATGGCATGGCATGACGTAGCATGGCATGGCATGGCGTAGCATGGCACGGCATGGCATGGCGTAGCATGGCATGGCATGGCGTAGCATGGCATGGCGTAGCATGGCTTAGCATGGCATGGCATGGCGTAGCATTGCATGGTATGGCTTAGCATAGCATGGCGTAGCATGGCATGGCATAGCATGGCTTAGCATGGCATGGCTTAGCATGGCATGGCATGGCGTAACATGGCATGGCGTAACATGGCATGGCTTAGCATGGCATGGCGTAACATGGCATGGCATGGCGTAACATGGCATGGCGTAACATGGCATGGCTTAGCATGGCATGGCGTAACATGGCATGGCATGACGTAGCATGGCATGGCGTAACATGGCATGGCATGACGTAGCATGGCATGGCATGGCGTAGCATGGCATGGCGTAGCATGGCTTAGCATGGCATGGCATGGCGTAGCATTGCATGGTATGGCTTAGCATAGCATGGCGTAGCATGGCATGGCATAGCATGGCTTAGCATGGCATGGCTTAGCATGGCATGGCGTAGCATCACGTAGCATGCTACGTGATGCGTGATGACGTAGCATGGCATGGTATGGCGTAGCATGGCACGGCGTAACATGGTATGGCGTAGCATGGCGTGGCGTAACATGGCTTGGCGTAGCATGGCGTGGCGTAACATGGCTTGGCGTAGCATGGCATGGCATGGCGTAGCATTGCTAAGCATGGCGTAGCGTGGCTTAGCATGGCTCAGCATGGCATGTCGTAGCATGGCATGGCGTAGCAAGCCATGGGGTAGGATAGCGTAGCATGGCTTAGCAAAGTCTAAGCTTAGCACGCATCATTTTGATTGGCGTGCCCGCGTCAATGGTTGAAAAAGAGGTATTTAAATGTCTCTATGACCAAAATCTAGCTGACAAGCTAACCAATATGTCCTTAGATACTTTCATGACCTCAATAAAACTTAGCCACAAATATGGAAGGTAAGATGCTGATAATTGCAATTATATAATAAAAGTTCCGACCCATATTCGCAAAGCCCTCATTACCCAGGAACGATTATTTATTAATTGGACGTCCTGCCCGGTACGAGATTTTACCTTGGTAACGAGATGCTACAATTGCCAGCAGTACGGTCACGCAGCCAAGACGTGCAATATCGCTACCCCAACGTGTGGACATTGCGGTGGCTCAGGTACACTCCGGCAAAGACTGTCCTAAGAAAGACGTTGACCCAAATGTGCTACATGTTTGCACTTTAAGAAACTTGCTAACCCTAAGACGGGAGACGCAGTATGTCCAGGTAAAATAGCCGCCGAATTTAGATATATTAACTCAATAGACTATGATTATGAAGGCGCCTAAGAGCGCCACATATTAGTTTATAGCTTAGCCGTAAGTAATTGATTGTTGTTAGCTACTTTAAAATGGATATTAACTTAATTAGCGACATAGATGGTGCATTTTCAACTGAGTCAAAGTCATGTGAGGTTGAGGACTGCAAACAAAATCTTTCTAAATATTCAAAGTCACTAACAATATTAACACAAAACATCCGTAGTATTTATAGAAACGTAGATAGCTTCAACATTTTTGTTGATCGACTGAACTTTGATTGCGATATTATGGTTCTAACAGAATGCTGCTTGCAGTTGGCAAATCGCTACGATAACCTCCCAGATATACCAGGATATAATTTATTTTACACTAAATTGATTAATAATTATAGGCCAATATCGGTACTTCCCTCAATGTCAAAGATACTCGAGAAATTAATTTTTAGAGCTAATCAACTTTTTAGGGAAAAATAGCTTGCTGTCGTCAGCACAATTTGGTTTCAGAACCAGGTTGTCCACCGCTGATGCAGTGCATAACCTAGCCGAATATGTTTCGAAAGAACTAGACAAAGGAAATCAGGTCCTGGGAGTCTTCCTTGATTGAGCGAAAGCTTTTGACACAGTCTCTGTCTCAGTGCTTCTTAACAAATTAGAGGCCATTGGGATACGCGGCACGACGCTGTCTATATTTTCTGATTACCTAGACAACAGGTACCAATGCGTTAGGATAGATAATTTCACGAGCGAGGAACAGCGGAACACTGGTTTTGGAGTTCCCCAGGGCAGTGTTTTGGGTCCCACGCTTTTCTGGTCTACATTAACGACTTGTGTAACCTAAATATTGGACACTGCAAAGTGATATCTTATGCTGACGACACAGCGTTAATTTTTACGACTAAAACCATTGGCGAATTGCAAGAACATGCTCAAATAGGTTTTAATACTGTGACTAATTGGCTTCAAAGCAATGTGCTAACATTAAATGCTGACAAAACTAAATATGTACACTTTTCTATTCGAAAACCTCAACCCATCACTGATAACTTTCACTTATACGCTCATCAATGTAATAACATCTCAGTCCACATGTGTGATTGTCCTCTTATCCTTAATTCCCGTAACATCAAATATCTTGGGGTAATAATTGATAACACACTCACTGTTAGACATCATATTCAAAGTCTTGTAAAAAGAGTGCGCAAGCTAATATATGTCTGTAAAAAAATTCAAACTTTGCTGATTCAAAACTAATCACTCAGGATTATTTGGCTTCATGTCAATCTGTAATTCAATACTGTATAATATCATGGGGCGGTGCTTCAAAAACTATCCTGCTTCCTCTTGAAAGAGCTCAGAGAGCTATTTTAAAGGTTGCAAACTTCCATCCCTATTTCTATCCCACAGATCAGCTATATAAATTTTGTAACGTACTAACAGTCCGCCAGCTCTTCATTTTACAAGTAGTATTAAAGAAGCATACTATGCTCTTATACAATGCTAATAATACTATTAAGAGACGGAATGATATAGTATGCACTTCCAATGCAACTAGAAATGTTTTTGCCGAAAGATTATTTTCATTGTTAGGTCCACTTTTGTACAATAGGTTAAATAGAAAATGAAGCGTGTATAAACGCTAAATTAAGCGTGTATAACGCAGATTTTTTACAATTAAAATTATACAATTTTAATTGTAAAAAATCTGTTATTGCGTTCTTGCGTAATACTGCATATGCGCAGACTGAAGACTTACTGTTGGTCGACAAATAATCTGCCAACTCGGTGTTTTTACCTTTTACTTTTATGTTATGTAAGATTTATTTTAGTAGGTACTTTATACTGTTAATTTATTTATAACTTGAAAAAATATTGTACTATGTGGCTGGCTTTAGGTCAGTTATTATACTAGAAAGGTCCGTAAGGTTTATCGTGGTTAAGCACCAAGGTTTTAATTTCTAAGAAGTAAAGAGTTAGAAATTGTCCTTTATTTGACAACTAGCTTTTACCCGCGGCTTCGCTCGCGTCACAAAAGGATAAAAAGTAGCCTATGTGACAAACACCAATACACACAGCGCCATCTATATCAATACTTTTGTTTTTCCTCGGGAATATCAAATTTTTCCGGGTTAAAAAGTAACCTATTATTTAATCCGGACTTCTAACTTTACGTCTGCAAAAATTCAAAGCAATCGGTTTCGTAGTTACGGCGTGAAAGTGGAACAAACAAACAAACTCACTTTCCGATTTATAATATTAGTAAGGATAAACTCGACCCCATAATAACAAAGGGACTTATTTTCGACCATCCTATAATAGGATTCAAAATGCATTAATCAGTATTTTTTTCAGAATTCATAAAACTCGGACTAAACTAAAATCATTAGTCAATAAATAATTTTACATAATATTTTATTTTTCATTAAATATTAATGAACATTTCATTAAACCACAATAAATTAGAAGGGGTAGTTAGGATAGTCTTTCCAGCCGTCAATTTCAATGACACGAACATTTTTGTTAAAGCTGGCGATGGCTGCAATCTCCTCAGCGGACAGCTCGAAGTCGAAGACATTGATGTTCTCAGCAATTCGTTTCTGATTGGTGGACTTCGGGATTGGGACGAGACCACGTTCAATCTGGGGGTGAAAATAAACTGGTTATTCACTACACTAAATTGTTATTTTTTTGTGACATCATCATCAACAACCATTAAATGCCCACTGCTGAGCAAAGCCTCTTCTTACACGGAGAAGGTTTGAGCATTAATTACCACTCTTGCTCTTGTTGGTGATTTCGATTGGCGATTTTTTGTGTAATATATAGTAAATTAATTCTCATTAATGATTTGTGTTTTCGCTCTTTTTTTAAGTAACGTTGCCCCACTTTAGAATTTTCACCTGTGCTGTAAGTGCGTTTATGAACATACAATACACATGGACCACAATTTGTGGATTACACATAGAGGTAGTGTTGTTCTAACAAGTAACAACTAATGTAATACAACTTTAATGTATTACAACTTTTAAGTCGCGCTTAAGTATAGTTCTATCACTACCATATTCTTTGTAAAATGATAGAGATGTCACGATATTTAAGTACAATTTAAAATTGAGTAGTAGCCTTTTAGTATTCGGGCGTTAATTTGAAAAGATGCATTTTCTTTTAATCCAAATGTTATTTACTCACCGCAAATCTGAGTACAACTTGTCCAGGGCTCTTGCCGTACTTAGCAGCGATGGCTCCGATGATTGGGTCATCGTATTTGGGAGGGGGAGCATCAGGTCGGTTGCGAGAGACCAGGAAACCGAAGGGACTGTATGCCATCACAGCTATGTTGTGAGACATGCAGTGGTAGACCAGTGGCTCTTGGGTGAGGGTTGGGTTAACCTGGAATAAAATAGATAGGAGATTAAAGATGGAGACGAGTGCCTATGTAGTGTAATAAGCCTCAAGATTAGAATACTAACAAAATAGTTGTTAGTTGTTCAAGGTAGAACAATCTTGGTGAAAGATGCACTCGGCTAACGCCATACTACACTATTTGACTAGAGTTATAATTAATATTTGACTAGCGTTGTACCATAGCTCGATAGATGGCGTTGTCGGATTTAATTTCAAGCTATGGTTTCGTTACCGGCAAAACATTAGGTTGATTATATTGACGTGAATAAATGTTTTGCTCTGAGGTACTTTGTATCATTTCAAGTAATAGGCATCAAAGGACTTTCGGCCGATAATGTTTATTAGGAAATTAGGAAACATTTATACTAAGGACACAAAATCCCCCACATCAATCTGAACTAAAGTCCAAAAATAACATGAGATTTTTTTGAAAATTGTCCATACTAACCTCAAATTCATTAACAGCAGGCGGTACATTGCTGTTAGCAAGCAGTCTGTCGATCTGCGAGATGTTGAAGTTGGACACTCCAATGGATGTGGTCAGACCGAGCTGCTTCGCTTCCTCCATGCCTTTCCACGTGTCTAAGTAGTCAATGTTGTCTGGAGATCCATCTTCCTGTAATTTTTTGAAGAAGTAACATAAGATTTAGATATATTTTTGTTTGTTGATCCATTGGTGAAGGAGATGTGTGAGAGAGCTATGCTTCGGCATGAATGGGCCAGCTCTACCGGAGTGATACCACGGCCTGACAGAAGACCGACGTGAAACAACGTTGTGTTGTGTTTCGTCGTGTGAGTGAGGTTACCGGATGCCCAATTACCCTCCCCCTCTTTCCCCAATCCCTGAATCCCGAACAATTCTCAAATTCCTAATCCCAAAAGGCCGGTAACGCAATTGCAACGCCTCTGGTGTTCCAGGTTTCCATGGGCGACGCCGATTGCTTACCATCAGGTGATCCGTCTGCTTGTTTACCGGTGTATCACATAAAAAAAAGATACGTCTGCTATTTAAGGGGTGTTTAACAGACTTAATAAAAAGAAGGTTGACCTGTATGTACATACCTATGTATGTATGGTTGTGCGCGCTTATGTCGCGAATGGCTGAATCGATTTTGTTACACTTATACTTTGTTAGACTTAGGAAAAGGTTTTAGTATAATTAACTGACTTCAAAAAACTATTAGTTTGAAATCGGTTTTTTAAACGTAGATAGTTTTTAATTTTTATATCCTATAATCTACATACGATCTAACTTTTATACTCAGACTATGCAAGATATTATAAATATTCGGTTTTTAAAACTCCTTTAATACATATTTCTGTTTCTGTCTAGAAATGAGATCAGCCCAGATAAAATAAAGTTGCCCTGTGTCTGGAATTTCTAGTGCAGTAAGTGGTCGATCATTTTTGTCCATTTGTAGGACTTAATTTGAGTTTAGTAGCAGTAGTCTAAAATTGTATGGCGATTAAAGAAACATCTGTTTTCTTAATAAAGATCTCCTTTATCCAGTTCTTGTGAAAAACACAAAAATTATGGCTAAACCATTCGGCCAATCGTGATGCAATTCGAAAGGAAGATGGCTTAAAGTTATAGCATATGTGTCGAGATATCATCTATACAGATAAATAAAATTGGAGTGTCTGTTTGTAATATTAAAATACCCGCTTTTTACTACATGCATAATATGAATATACATACGATACATGTACCAAAATTAACTTTTTACAATTTTTGTATGTCTGTTTGTCTGCCTCGTTGGCCGAGTGGTCGCAAGTTCGACTGCCGGGCACGAGGTCTCGGGTTCGATTCCCAGATCGGCCAAAGTATTACTGGGTTTTTAAAAATTCTCAGTAGTAGCACGGAGTCTGGAATTGTGCCCGGTATATGGCAATAAGCTCACCCTCTATTACATGGGACTCATAACATAAATAGTGAAAAGTGGGTGTTATATTGTACAGTGGCATAATGTGCACCTCTGCCTACCACTTCGGGGATAAAAGGCGTGATGTTATGTGTCTGTTTGTTTGTACTGGCTAACCTCTGATATGGCTGGACTGATTTTGACGGGACGATGTAGTAAGGAGTAATATAGGGTACTTTATTTTAGAAAAACGCAGACAAAGTTGCGTGTACACCTAGTTAATATTAAAACCTAATCTAAAATGCATAATATGCATATGAACGATATACATTAATATTGCCATTCAATATATTTCAATGACTCAACGACCATAGTTGCAATCATTACTAATATTATAAATCGGAAAGTGAGTTTGTTTGTTTGTTTGTTCCGACTTCACGCCGTAACTTCTAAACCGATTGCATTGAATTTTTGCATACGTAAAGTTAGTAGTCTGGATTAAATAATAGGGTACTTTATATCCCGAAAAAATTTGATATTCCCGAGGGAAAACAAAAGTATTGGTATAGGTGGCGCTGTATGTCACATAAGCTACTTTTTATCCTTTTGTGACGCGAGCGAAGCCGCGGGTAAAAGCTAGTTTTAATTAAAAGATAAATAATTAAGTCTCCATACAGTATCTAGATCATGCAGTTGCGATGTGACGATATGAATAAAGAATGTTTTAATTACAAACTAGATTTTAATTATGTCTTATGTGGTATATCGAAGATTATTATTGATACTGATAATATGTACCCACGCGCTACGCTGTAAATCACTATTCCACGCGGACGAAGTCGCGGGCTCAGCTATTCTTATATAAAGTTAAAGGCCCGATTTGAATAATTTATTTTTGTGTTAGATAGTCCATTTATCGAGGGAGGGTATAAGCTACGAAACATCACGCTACAATCAAGAGGCGACGAGCAGAGCGAGCAAACCGTGCGTGAGTAGATAGTAATTATAATAGAATTCTTAAGCTGATTTGATAATACGTAATAGTATTCTATATTAATAGTAGTAGCATTGCCTCGTTGACCGAGTGGTTGCAAGAGTGACTGCCGGGCAAGAGGTTTCAGGTTCGATTCCCGAGTCGGGCAAAGTGTTACTGGGATTTTCTCAGTAGTAACACGGAGTCTGAAATTGTGCCCGGTATATGGCAATAGGCTCACCCCCTACCCCTATTACATGGGACTTATAACATAAATAGTGAAAAGAGGGTATTAAATTCTATAGTGGCATTAAGTGCCATAATGTCCACCTCTGCCTACCCTCTCTGGGATAAAAGACGTGATGTTATGTTATGTAATAGAAGCATTTCTCGCTAATCGCCACAGGCATCTAATATTTGCAATAACTCGCTTCGCAAGTAACTGAATAATAATTTCGACTTTTCGAAATCCTGTTCATGATTTATATTATTTGAATTAAATGTCAAAGTCAGACTTTTTCCAACCGGACCGCTTCAATTAACATTACAAGATTGTACAAGATAATAAATAAGAAATGCTTGCAAAAAAAAACATGTTCAGTTTAGAAATCTTTAATTAGGAAAGTAAAATATTTGTTTCGTTTCATTTATGAATAGGTATGATAGAATATGAATAGGTAGATCAATATCTAGGATGCATTCGACTTAATAGTGTCGATACTTTTCTTTGTTAATCCTAGCTTAGCATAATTTCAGACTGCCTCGTTGGCCGAGTAGTCGCAAGTGCAACTGCCGAGCTGTCTGAACTGTCTCGGGTTCGATTCCCGGGTCGGGCAAAGTATTACTGGGTTTTTTATAAAATCTCAGTAGTAGCACGGAGTCTGGAATTGTGCTCGGTATATGGCAATAGGCTCACCCCCTGTTACATGGGACTTACATAAATAGTGAAAAGTGGATGTTACATTGTACAGTGACATAATGTATACCTCTGCCTACCCTTGGGGTTAAATCAGTATTCTTCCATCACTCTTCACCATCTTATGAATCCTACGTATGAGGTAGACAGAAGGTATCCACAGAGGTTCTGTTTAGAGGTTTTATCACACTAGTGACCGTGTATGTATGTGTGCGTGTACTTGCAACACCATAATGTATGAAGTGTAATGACGGGATAATCACGCGACAGATGCCCTTCGTGTCAATATGTGTGTATCCTGCGTGTAAGTCTATAGTAGCCAGGTGCCACAGTCGTTGTTTTAAGAGACTATGCCTATTTTTTCAACGTTTTTTTTATGGCATAAGCCGGTACAAGCAGACGGATCACTTGATGGTAAGCAATCGGCGTCGCCCATGCACACCTGGAACACCAGAGGCGTTACAAGTGCGTTACCGGCTTTTTGGGGATTAGGAGTTTGAGGATCGTTGGGATTTCAGGGATTGGGGAAATTGGGGAAGGGGAGGGTAATTGAGCCTCCTGTAACCTCACTCACACGACGAAACACAACGCAAGCGTTGCTTCCACTCACTCCGGTCGAGCCGGCCCATTCGTGCCGAAGCATGGCTCTCCCAAACTTACATCCTTGTAGTCAAAATGGTATGTTATATCCTTACCTTAGTAGCGATGGGGAAGTGAATAAGGAAGAGGTCGACGTATTCTAAGCCGAGCCTGGAGAGAGATTCCTTCAGAGCGGGGACCACCTGGTCGCGAGCGTGTTTATCGTTCCATAGCTGAAAGAAACAAATGAATGTCTTAGGGCCGATTTTTCAATCATCAGTTACTTTTTAACTGTAGAATAAAATTGACAAATGACAGTTTTTATTATGAAAGAATTGTCAAATACTGAACGTTATTCCTTAGTTAAAATTTATCTGAGCATTGAAAAATTGGCCCTGAAACAGATTAATGAAAAAACGAAGCACCTTTCTAAAGTACCGATTTGAATATATTTCACTGTACTTATAGTCTTTTATTGATGAACGTGAACTGCAGAGTGCAATGTCCTTGTTCCAGACTTCAAACCCCCGAAGTCAAGCCAGATAAAGTTTTTTTTTTTAATAAACGTTACCCCACATTAGGACTTTCTCCTATGTCGTGGCAGCATTTACAAACATACAAGTTCATGTCTTATACACATGACACCCAGACCCGGAACAACAATTTGTGGATCACACAAAGAGTTGTTCCGTACGGGAATCGAAACCGCGACACGTTGCGCGGCAGCCAGTTGCCCAGCCACTGCATCAACCGTACCGTCGAAGTCTGGAACTTATGCTCTCTGTATGACCATAAAAACTCTATCTCTTTACTGCAAATGTAACGTAACTTGTGCACTGCAAAAATACTTCTGATACCTGCCCTTCCCTTACAGTAACTCAAAACTAATATTATCATTTACATGAATTTTATTTCAAAAACTTTGCTACACATTATTAACACTTATGCACCCGAAACAAGCACGGCGCCGGCACGGCTCAACCCAGCAATTAACTTGTCATTTAAATATGAACATTAAACCGTATGTTTTATGACATATTCCATAACGTCAATATAAAAAAGATGTAAGCGGGCCGTCCGCGCGCCGACGGCGGGTCGTCCACGCGTCGACAGCACGCCAGCAGCGCGCTTATAACCTTTTTGTATTGTTTCCAAAGCAAAAACGCCGTGCCGGAGCCGTGCTCGTTAGGTGTGCCCTTAATCTTACCTTAGTTGTAATAAACAGCTGGTCCCTAGTAACGATTCCTTTGGCTATAGCATCAGCTATGCCTTGTCCGACCTGCTCTTCGTCTCCATAAACAGCTGCGGTGTCGATGTGACGGTAGCCAGCCTCAATGGCCCAGAACACCGCGTTGCGAACATCATCTAATGTGTCTGTCTGAAATTGAAAGCGAATAGCGTTAATCAAAGTTGTAGTGACTGTAGTGACAAGTGAGATTGTATGATATATTCAAGTGATTGCAACTATGACTACTTAAGTAAGGGATTTCAGATTCGACTTCCGTATTGAACAAAGTATTTCTGGAGATCGTCAGCCTTTGCGACAAGTAGGTACAGACTAGTTTACTGCAATGGACTCGCCCCAAATTTCTTCTTCTTCTTCTCTTAGGGAATCGAAAAGGTGTGAATTTCAGGTATTTGTCTGATTCGGTGTTGAGTCTTACCTCTTTTGCGGTACCCCTGCCGGTTCCCAAGGCAATCATGGGCATTTTGTTACCATCATTGAGGAGCACGCAAGGTGGCTGCGTAGCTAGAACCACCTGAAATATAAGGTCATCATCATCATCGTCGTCGTCATCATGAATCTAATACCTTTCAACGAGCAATTCTTTATAACAACTATCTTGAAAACGGCGACATTATTTTTTATTAATGAAATTAGGTATATATTTGGGCCTCGGAGAAATAAATCGATTTAGCTAGGTTTTATTTGCAGAAAATGTCGTCTTATCCGTGTTTTCATTGAATAATGAACTAAATTTTGCCATGACATATCATAATGATAAATAGCTTTGTCGGTACATAAATCAGTGCTTTCAACACTTTACTATGACTATAAAAGTATAGTCATAGTAAAGTGTCACACTCATAGTAAAGACTATGAGTGTGGGTTTTGTTTGGGTTCAAGCCACGGTCCGATTGTTTTCTTTTTTATCCTTTTGTTATATTTTATTTTTTCTAAAAATCAATTGATGTTCCTTATTCTCGCTAAAACTCGAGAACGGCTTTTCCTAGTTGGAAAATTTTGGTCTTGAATATTTGTGGAAGTCCAGGGAAGATTTAAGAGGTAAGAAAAAAATTTGAGGCGGTACGATGTTTGCTGAGTCAGCTAGGTTTTTCTATATATTGTTGTTTTTTATTTTCTATAAAAATATTTCACTACTTAAATATAGTACTAAAACAATTCAGAGCAAAGCTCGGTCATCCAGGTACTAAAGCGTAGCCGCGGAAGACTTAACGGGTTGCCGGGGCTCCGGCTCGAAGTGCAGGAGTAGGAACGGGGTGGTTTTTAGTCAGTAAGAGTCTGACACTCCCTCCCGCCTCACCCGGGCGGGAGAAGTCATTGGATGATTTTCGCCCCTCAAAAAAAAAAGTACTAAAGCGTGACGGGACACTATTGACTATAGGCCATCTATACATACCGAGGTTTTGCTATTACCTCCATGCCAGGCTGGTTGGATATCGCTATGTTTTCAGATTACTCTCGTAACTGTTTGACGAGGAACTCGACTATTTTCAAGCCATACTAGAGGCTCATATTCATGAGCAGCATTGCGCGACACGCATCGCAGCGTTCTACCTCTACCATCAACATCTTCATCAGTTTATCAAGGTCTCTGTCACAAGTCTTTATCTACCATGAATATGAATTAATTCATTTTATTCTTTACACACGCAGATGTTGAAAAAAACAAGCCAGGTTTCGTGGCGAGGCATTTTAAATATCTAACAGCGTCTGTGTGTAAATACACAGATAGAATTTTAATTTGGGTAGAAGAATTATTTAGAGTTTGCTGATGCTGAGTGATTTTTTAGAACTGTAGATTCTATTTGTTTTTGGATCACGTTGTCAAAAGCATTAAAAGCAGCTTAAATTTATTTTATTATGTTATTAATTAAAAGCAACACTGATACAAAAAAATTCAAATTCAAATTCAAAGTCTTTATTGCTTCATGTGTGGGTACCAAGGTGTTATACATAATACATATGATTTTGGTTAAGCAGTATCAACATGACCCTGTAAGGGCGCTGCAATTTATATTAAATAATAAAAAACACTATATTATTCAAAGATTGTACATAACATATTATTAAAATTTTACCACGATTGCTTCAATTGATTTTCGTTTACATTTTACCTACATACACATTATACATATCTACCAACTCTTTATTTGCACAATTTTATTTATTTATTATCATTACCAGCAATTTCCTTATTATTGCTATTATTCTATTTTTTTTTAGTTTTGTTGTTTATTCTCAAAAAACTCCTGCAAACTATAATAACATTTATCGATGAGATATTCATTAAGTTTTCTTTTGAAAGTAGTATATTTTGTTTCTTTTTTTATATTACTTGGTATTTTGTTGTAAATTTTTATTGACATGCAATAGGGGCCGTTATGAAATATAGATAAGTTGGAGGTAGGAAGCGATAATTTATTTCTATTTCTTAGTTGACGGTCTTGCGAATAGTGGTCACGGTTACGACTAAAAAGATTAATATTTTTGTAAACAAATAGGCTCAAATCCAATATGTACAGGGAAGTCAAAGTAAGGACACGGAGTGTTTTAAAGTGTGGTCTACAGCTATGTGTTCCCCCAACATTGGCCAGAATGCGAATGCATTTCTTTTGGAGTTTAAATATGTCGTCTGCGTCAGTACTATTACCCCATAGAGCAATGCCATAGCGCATCCATGAGTGCGCATATGCATAATATGCAGTGAGGGCGGTTTTTTTGTCCGTTGATGTTTTCAGATGGTAAAGAGCGTAAGTGAATTTTGACAGTTTGCTGCTTATGATCTGGGCGTGTGATTTCCAGTTAAGGTGACTGTCAATATTTAATCCCAAAAGTTTAAAGTTGTTAGTACTTTCAATTTTCTCATTATTAAATGCAAAATCAATAGATAGGTTTCGTTTTTGGTAGGGTTTAAACTGCATGAGTTTTGTTTTTTTGAAATTGACTTGCAAATTATGATCATTCAGCCAACTAGTTATATTTACAAATAAAGAATTTAATGTATTGTTTAGATTTTGTTCATTTTCACAAGGAAGTACAATTGATATGTCATCTGCAAAAAGGGTACTTGTAGCATTTATTACTTTTGGTAGATCGTTTATGTAGATCAGGAACAGCAAACATCCCAACACACTTCCCTGTGGGATAGAATTCTGTACATCTATTACTTGAGATCTTACCTGGGTGATTCTGCCACTTTTGGAGTTATGGTGCTCAATTTCTACGTACTGGCTACGATTGTGTAAATATGACTCAAACCATTTATGAGCGATTCCTCTGACACCGATACCTTCCAGTTTATTTAAGAGGATTTTGAATGAGACTCGATCGTAAGCTTTGCTCATGTCCAAAAGGATTCCGATTGCATATTTGTGATCATTTATAATATTAAGTACATATTGTATATATTTGTAAACCGCGTATGTAGTTGATCGTTCTTTGCGGAAACCATTTTGACTGTCATCAAATATTTGATATTTTTCACAGTAGGTGTATAAACGGTTTGACATAGCTGTTTCGAATATTTTTGAGAAGGTTGGCAGTTGGCAAAAAACACGGTCATTAGCTCGTTTTCTTATTCATCATCAACAGCTTATAAATGCCCACCGCTGAGCAAAGCCTCTTCTCACATGGAGAAGGTTAGGGCATTAACCCATTGAGTATCATCATTATAGACACAATTAAAGAACAATAGGTTGCGGTCACCGGTGTCCTCGCGGTGTTTGACAGTTTAATCACCACTTGCTCAACACGGGTTCGCGATTTCAAACTTATAATACCCGCATTGAGCAAGCGTGATTAATGCTCAAGCCTTTTTGTGCGAGAGGAGGTCTCTGATCATCAATGGCTACTTATCATAGGCTGTTGATGATGATGATGACTTGATCCATAATAAGATTCTTTTGGGCTCCTAATTAGCTCTAACGACTATCACAGATGTTTGTAAGACCTCTATAAAGTTTCCATTTCAAATGAGTATTATAGGCTTTGGTCAGCAGTGGCTACTTATTATAGGCTGTTGATAATGAAAATAAGAGCGGGGATAGAAAATATAATCTTTACTATAATATTATAAATCGGAAAGTGAGTTTGTTTGTTTGTTTGCTTGTTCCGCTTTCACGCCGTAACTACTAAACCGATTGCTTCGAATTTTTGCAGACGTAAAGTTAGAAGTCCAGATTAAATAATAGGGTACTTGTTATCCCGGAAAAATTTGATATTCCCGAGGGAAAACAAAAGTATTGGTATAGATGGTGCTGTGTATATCATTATATGTCACATAGGCTACTTTTTATCCATTTGTGACGCGAGCAAAGCCGCGGGTAAAAAGGTATTTTATAATAAATTTGTTGTAAAAGGATTTTTTTAAAGCTATAGAGGGTTCGATAAAATAAAAAAAAAACGCTCGTGGCTTCGTTTCTTTGCTTCCATGTGCATCTATAATATCAATGTTTTTACAAATTTACAAGGCAGCTGGACTTAGTTATTCTCACCTTTGAAGTGGATACGAAACCACAAATCAAAGATCAGAATCGAGTCCATTCTTAATTAATGTTTTCTTCATCAATTAATATTTAGATTTTAATATCATCTATAATTCTATCTTAACCTTATCATTATTTACGAGTCAGTTCAACGTAGAAGGTTATATTAAGTTTGTATGTCGTAATAATTGCTTAATCCGATCCAAATCTTAAGGTTAAACAATACGGAGGATGACGCGTGACAAATTAAATGAACACCGGTGAATGGAGGCTACGTAACAAACTTAGAATTCTATTTTGAACAATCTAGAAGAAACATAATTTATATACAGAGTGGAATTTTGTAATGTCATCTGAAAGGGCAAAGGTTTTTTTATGGAATAGGAGGCAAACGAGCAGATGGATCACCTGATGGCCCAACACCAGAGGAGTCACAGGTGCAAGCAAACTTTGACAGATTTTAGTCGGTTCGTTAACTGTCTGAGGCAAGCTAATTTAAAAACAACATTTTGAATGCAGTTTTGTTTCTTTTAAAAAATAAAGGAATATTTTCTTTAGGTAAAATTAAAAAATAAAGGAATATAATACTTATATTAAGAGTTAAGGTGGCATTACAAAATTCCACCCTGTATATAAATGAATCCCTTTTTCCCTTGGTCACGGCATTACGCGTGAATAGCTGGACTGATTTCACTAATTCTTTTTTTGTTGTATTTGTTATTATTAGGAGAATTAGAAGGGTTCTTAATACAGAAAAAATCCCGAAGATCCTACGGGAACGGCAAAAAACGGGATTGCGCGTACGAAGTCGCGGGCAGAAGTTAGTTCTTTAATAATTATTTTATTGCACACGGTTAATTAATATACTAAAAGTTTCTCCGAAGTGAAACAAACAATTATCTGGAAACTGTATCAAAAGGTTTTCGCGGTTCTCTCTCGCGGTTTAGCCAATCGCGAGATATTCTTTGCTAAACCATGAATGTATAATCTATTCTATAATTATGATTTCAATATGATGAGTAGGTAAACAAACGGTTTAATAAAAGGTAAATAAGCAATTTGAGAACACGCTAATACCTAGGTTACCTACATCATTTGCACGTAGAAACATAACACATAACATCACGCCTTTTATCCTCAAAGGGGTAGGCAGAGGTGCACATTATACCACTGTACAATGTAACACCCACTTTTCACTATTTATTTATTTATTTATTTATTTATCATTTCATGTACCCACACCATACAGACAATATTATAAGACACAACACATTATAGGTAAGCATGAGGTACATAGGTACTGCATATCCCTTAAGGGATTTCTTCCTGCAGACCTGCGACAGGAATTAAAGGAATATAAACATAAGACACAGTGTAAATACATGCAACGAATACAAAACAAAATAAAATTAATGAAAGAACTTAAAACTAGAATGACCGTAGTATAAGAATAAAATATAAACTTAAGCAAATTATAACAAAAATAATAAATAAAATAATTAGAAATATTTAAATATGATTACATAAAAATATATATATATGTATATTGTATGTATACATAGATAAATATATACATAAATAAAGCTGTACTTCAGGACGAAAGATAATAATCCCTGACAAGTCGTTTGAAAATGGAGATGGATTTGGCGTCGCGAATGCTAGGCGGCAGCGAATTCCACAGTCTCACCGCATGAACCGTGAAGGAGTAGGAATAGAAATCGGTTTTATGTTGAACGATTTCAAGAAGAGACTTATTTATTTTATGAGTCCCATGTAATAGGGGGTGAGCCTATTGCCATATACCGGGCACAGTTCCAGACTCCGTGCTACTACTGAGAATTTTTTAAAAACCCGGTAATACTTTGCCCGACCCGGGAATCGAACCCGAGACCCCTTGCTCGGCAGTCGCAATTGCGACCACTCGGCCAACGAGGCAGTCATATTATATCTAGGTAGAGGATATTTTCCATCTTTTTATCATAAACTAGCCATCCGCCCCGGCTTCGCACCGGTGCAATGCTTATGTGATTTACGACATCACATTAGAAACCTCTAAATTTATTAGTTTTTTACCATATTATGCATTTAATATACATATAAACCTAGAATCACTCTATCTATTAAAACAAACCGCATCAAAATCCGTCGCGTAGTTTTAAAGATCTAAGCATACATAAAGAAAGACAGACGGCGGAGAGCGACTTTGTTTTATACTATGAAGTGATAAATAATAATAATATTACGTAAAAAAATGTATATATCCATTCAAAAATTGTATACACTTCATTACCTCTTAAAAAATTGTGAAAGCAAACAAACATATATAGCTATTATGTATGTAGATATAAATGTTATTGCATCTATTGCTACTTGTAAATGTCATCGGATCACCGAAATGTATGTATGTACATACGTGTATAACTACGAACTGCTGCGCTAAATTGGATAAATTCATGTTTATTTCAGTTAGATGAATAAAGGAATCGCGCCTGTTTGATTGTCCTTATACGTAGATTAAACAACTAATCAGCTTTTCAAAGTAATATATTAAACTATGAAACTAAATCTGAGTATCTGTTCCACATTTTATACACATTACAGTATTCGGGCATAAGTGACCTATTTTAAATGTATGAAGACACAAATTCATTTTCAAAATAATATAACTTTTTATACATATTTTTCACATAGAAAACTCCAACAAAGCAAACATCATAACACCATTCACAAGATGATAGATAATAAAATGTTGCAACAAACACGATAACGAAAGAGAAATCAAAGCGAAATGTCAGTTTAATTAATTTAATCTTTACTCACGTTTAGCCCAAAAAATAGTAATAAACCAAGCACTCTCATGTTAACTGGCACAACGTCAAAACCACACTGATCTCTTCCGCGACCACTTTATGTTCATATACCATATAACATAACCATCTAACTCAGCAGATCGATAGACACAAGTACCAGGATCGCATAAGTCGTTAGGTTCTCACAGCTTTCGAGCGTACATCGTGAGATGGTAAAGGTCGTCCGATTGAGTTTGATCTATTAGTGCGTGGGGATAGATTGCTTTGTTACTTCTGATAGCCTGGTACTTTCGGATGGTTGTAGCATCATCAATCTTCGTGAGATAATTTCGTTTGACATTTAAAAAAATGAATCATCGAAATGTTCCTTGTTAGCAGCATTCGTGTAACTTATGGACAATTGCATCAAACTGGAAATTTAATATTTTTTTACCGAATACTAGTAAAAGGGAAATCCCACAGAAATATTAATTATATCTATGGGAAAGCCTGAAGAAGGCACTTGGAAACAAATTCTAGTATCTGTATATACTTAAAACAAATAATATTCGTATTTAAGGACTACCTACATAGACAGATAGGTCAAAAACCCATCCAACGTTTCATAAATTGGTTAAAATATATTATTGGTATTTTATCTTACATTTGAATTGCAAATTAGATATTAAACATCACTTTTACACGTCAATATTTATTTTTCTTTATATAGAGACCATGCATAAATCTTTCCACTTTAAAAACTCCACGAAGGTAGCATCTATGCTGCTCAAGCAACCACAAAGGTGGACATTTATATCTAAGTAGCTTTAAGTAAAACTGAATACTTAATTACTGCAAAGTTTACTCTAAATGGATTCTTATAAGAACATAGCGCGATGCTCGTCAAACTTCCCACCAGCAGCTGTAGCCAAATGCTATTTACCGCTTATCTACATGTAGAATAGAAAACCAAATTATATGGAATTGACGTAAACTTTGACATTTGTCAGTGGCATCCCCATACATTTAGGTTTCTACTCTCTCTGTAGACAAGCGCTAAAGTGGCGTTTGGCTAAAGGCACAGAATCGCGCGTTACCACTCTTTTCGCGGAAAACTTTCTAATCTGTCACATTTGACAGATGACATCGTCAACATGACAGCTAGTGCTGTCGATAATACAGATTAAACTAGTAACGTTCATTTAGTTGATTTTCATTGTCTAACAGTAGGAACTACCTACATATATGCATATTACCTTCTAGGAAAAACGCACGTGATGTCATTCATATTACTACTATAATACTAATTAAATATCAAAGATTAATCCCGAACTATTAAATACCAAAACAACTTAATAAGGAAGCTTGAAATGGATATTTGCATAATTAATTATTACTTAGTTTTTCGTTAACGTCTTACTTAAAGTTAGCCTTAACCTTAGTAAATATGTACTGGAATAACCGGTTGCTTGGTGCTGTAATAGTTCGATGTATGTACTTGGAATATGCCGATCTGGAAGTCATTGGGAGAGGCCTATGTTTAGCAGTGGACGTTCTGTGGCTGATATGTGATGATGATGATGCACTTTGGCCATTGACTGTTGTTCATCATGGATCATCGTCTTCATCATTATCTATCAACAGCCGATAGACGTCCACTACTGTAGAAAGGTCTTCTCTTCATCGTCTTGCCTTACCCTTTTTATTTCCTCAAGGAGTCAGGTATAGACTTTCAAATGTGTCTAATTTTTTAGGAATATGGGCAAGCGAGCAGAGGGATCACCTAATAGTAAGCGATCAGCGCTACCCATGGACAAATTGTAACTTATTACTGGTTCGATCCTTTGTAAGAATCAATTCTAAAATCTAATCAAACCTAGAGGCATTGCTATACCTTGGTTATGTCGCGGAGAACTTAACGGGTTACCGGGGCTCCGGCTCGACGTGCAGGAGAAGGAACGGGGTAGTTTTTAGTCAGTAAGAGTCTGACACTCCCTCCCGCCTCACCCAGGCGGGAGAAGTAAATTGGTGATTTTCGCCCCTTCAAAAAAACCTTAGTTATAAAATAATATTTAGTCGTTGATATTCGACGAAAGACATAGCTATCGAGTTATTATTGTAAAAATTATAATTGAGCAATAAACATAAATTGAGTAGGTACCTATTGAATATAATTCCAATGCGAAATTATTAGATAATAATATCTACTGAACCTGTATCAATAAATTGGAAAAAGTGGTCATACATGCATGTAATATGAGACAAGACAATAATTATAATATTGTTATAGGTGTATTATTAAAAACTCGACGTTACATAAATTATTTTTTAACCGACATCAAAAAGAAAAAAAATATGTATCTCAGTATGTTTGTGTGTACCTAATAACTCGCGATTGCCTCAACAGATGTTGATGCGGTTTTCAGTAAAGCGTTTGTTAGACTTACGAGAAGGTTTTAGTATATTAATTTACCGACTTCAAAAAAGAGGGGGGATTTTATAAGGGGGGAAAATCATCGAATGACTGCTCCCGCCGGGTGAGGCGGGAGGGAGTGTCACTCTTACTGACTAAAAACCACCGCGTTCCTTCTCCTGCACGTCGAGCTGGAGCCCCGGTAACCCATTAGGTTCCCCGCGACTGTTAGGTTCTCCGCGACAAAGAGGAAGTATAAGTCAGTGTTTTAAAGGTTTATAAGGGAAAAATTTAAAATAGTATTAAATAACGACTTCTTCACGTCCAGCAGTGCGATTCAGTATTACACCAAATCGATATCGAAGGTCGGATAAGCAAAGGATTTTATTTCAAAATTTTTGAGCCTCACTTCGCTTCTATACGTCATACTAATTGTTTACAGAAGACAAGGGACATATAATCTATATATATAAAAGAAAGTCGTGTTAGTTACACCACTTATAACTCAAGAACGGCAGAATAGATTTTGCTGAAAATTGGTAGGGATGTAGCTTAGAGCCAGGAGACCGACATAGGATACTTTTTATCCAAATAGTTTTTTTACTTTTTTCCGAAAATCACAAACGGGGACGGGAAAAAATGGGATGGTACGCGTACGAAATCGCGGGCAGAAGCTAGTACAGAATAAAAGAAGATCGTGACTCAGCATTTAAATATCACCATGTTGCGAATCTTCAACGATTGAGGTAAAATAATATCACACAGCTTCCTAGAAACGATTTATTTGGCGTCTATTAACAACATTATGAGAATTTTCGCTAAAGATTAGGTAATAGTACCGTGGGTATTCCCCGGGAAAAATAAAATGTGTTTACTGTAAACCCACTTTTTGTAACAAATATTTATCTATCAACAATGAGCTGTTACTCGCTGTTTTGCCTGTGTGGTCAAAAAGAAAAAAAAAGTAACTTCCACTCACAAAAATCTATACCAAAAGAAAATATAGTAAGAGAAACCAAAAATAGGTAATAAAACATTAAACTTTACGTACCTATTCTTATAATATAGACCTTATTTTTTTAAAGGGGTAACATCATCGAATGACTTCTCCCACCCGGGTAAAGTGGGAGGGAGTTTCAGACTCTTACTGACTAAAAACCACCCCGTTCCTACTCCTGTACTTCGAGCCGGAGCCCCGGCAACCTTTTACGTTGTCCGCGGCTCCGTATTAGACACATTTTTCCTACACAACTTACCTACTTACAAACGTCGCCAGTTTCTACATAAAATAAGATAATGTAGGTACATCAGAGTACAATATTAGCTACATAAATTAAATAATCATAATTATTATATTATACGTATTTGCATTATCAAACAAAAGCCAGTGACATATTAATAAAAAATACAGTCATGTGAAAAAATAATGTTTAATATCATAAATACACAATATAACATCTTTCATATAAAAAAATATAATTGTCTTCTTTATATAATTAGATTTAGATACGTTTTGAGATAAACTAGAATCACACGCAACGGCCGACGAAACTAGCGAAGCGCATAATATAATAATATGAAATAAATTAAAATTAAGACGTGCCTCATAATTTAATTAAGAATCAGTTTCGAAGGCAAAAAAATATTAGCAATGTTGTGAAACATAAGACACAAATTAAAATATTTATGTTCCTAAAAAAATTATAATGGTTTTTGGTTGCCTCTTTTTGTCCTCTATGCTAAGCTCGCAAGATAGTGTTGTATTAAATTACAAACAACACATGTAACTAGATATTAATGTTTTATTTACATAATTAACAGCCCGAGACAGTACCTACACCTCTTTTTTAAAGGAAAAAACAACAAATGACGTCGTCTCCCGCCTGGGTGAGGCATGAGGGAGTGTCAGACTTACTGACTAAAAACGGCCCTGTTCCTATTCATACTTCGAGCTGGAGCCCCAGTTTACTGTTCACTTATAGACTATCAATATCGGCCTCTTATAAATAAGGATAATATCAACACTGATAATCCAGTGCTGGACTATGTTTTCACTACATTCGAGGAGTTTGCCATGATCTTTGCGTTAGCACGCGGCAGCGTAAAACTTTCAGGTTTATTAGAGGGCACTGCTGTCAGGTCTCTGCCATATGTGTAGTTCCTTCATCATCATCAACAGCCTATAGGTGGCTACTGCTGACCAAAAGCCTCTTCTCGCACGGAGAAGGTTTGAGCATAATTCACCACGCTTGCTCAACGCGGATTGGCGATTTCAAACTTGTATCTAGAAATAATTAGTTCAGGTTTCCTCACGGTGTTTTCCTCCACCGTTTCTCAGTGATGTTTAGATAATCTTAGAAAGTACATATAACTCGGAAAAAGTCACATTGGTACCCGCCGTTGGTAGGTTTCGAACCCGAAAATACCACAGAACCAGAACCCGATTTCTTATATTGATTTTCGCATAATCTATCACCTATCATTTTAGCTTCTCGAAAATGAATTAAATACACAAATGTTTAAGTTGTTTACATAATATATTACGGCCATATTTGTGTTGTGCAATCGTGCCTATCATGTCTAAAGTTAGATAAATAGTAAATAGACCGGTGGCCACATACACGTAGAAGCGGTTATTAACCTTAAGGTCGGAACAC